TAACTGGTATTTTCACTGAGCATAAGCGTAGATTTTCCTTTTCAAGTCTCTGGCATAAATTCGTTTTTCTATATTTCTCTTGGAAATAAAAAATATTGAATGCAAAATTCTTAATTTAAAGAGGTTATTAATGTCTTTTGTTGCTATTGAATTGGTTTTTCTACGTACCACTGCATCCCGGAAAAACTAGGGAAAAGAGCAAAAAAATGAGAGAAGAAGTAGGGGCATAAACAGAATTTGTTGTCAGTCATCTGTTAATTGTGCCAAAATACTAGGGGTGTCGATGGATATTCGAAAACCGACTAAACCGATCGAACCGTACCGCACCGAACCGATTTTTAGGTTTCTTTTTAAGAAACCGTAAGTTTTTATATAAATTTATAACCGCACCGATAATTAGGGTAGGTTTTTTATTTTATAAAAATAAACCGAAAAAATACCGAACCATACCGAATAAATTTTACATGTAGAAACTATATTTATTTAGTAAGTTTAAAAATAATAATGCATTAAATTTTCTTTGAGCCTTGGAATTATGAAAACTATTACAAGCCAACAAGTAATTAAACTCAAAATACTAATTCCTAAAACCTGTTATGCTACTTCTACTTAAACTAAGTTATTTCAAGTATCTTATTAGCAAGACACAAAGTATTCTAGCGATTATGAGTAGCAAACTACAATGTATTGAATATGTTTCCTTTCATATAATTTAGATTTATCTTGTTGAATATTTAATCTTTTATAGACTTTATTCTTGAGTCCCAGCATGGTATATCTTTCAACTCGTGTGATTAATATTTTCTTTGCCTTTGTTTGATTTCTTTTACGCTGTTGTAGAATAGTTGATGGATCTATACTCTAGCCATCTTCTTTTTTTTTAATTCATCACCCTTTAAACAGTAAAAATGTCCAGAGAGTTTTGCTAAGTCCTATAAAAGAACACATATTATTGCAATTCTACTTCTACTGGTGAATTTTACATGATATTAAAAAAAATACCAAAAATTAACTGAACGGTACTGATACCGAAGAGAAACCGACATGATTGAAACGGTTTCGAAAAGTTTAATTTTTGTTATACATAATAGAATAACCGAAAAATTGGTATGGTACAAATTTTATAAAACAACAGACCGATTGGAAGGTATATCACAATGTTTTTAATTTGTTATCATAATGCTTTTAATTTGTTATCAATCAAGTGCTACTCATTTAGAAAATTCGGTGGTCAATTGGAAGGTATATCACAATGTTTTTAATTTGTTATCATAATGCTTTTAATTTGTTATCAATCAAGTGCTACTCATTTAGAAAATTCGGTGGTCAATTGGAAGGTATATCACTATTAAAGGCATGCTCATTTGAGTTGAGAGACTAATGTACCAAAATGGTAAAGTGGTGTTGAGTTGCAAATTGCTTATTTAATCATATGCATGCCCATGAACAACACTTTATGACGCGATTTCAAATAATTTAATGATTGCTAGAACCAGAAATTAAAACAAACACATATTTCAAGCTACTTTAAAAAGTTAAAAACTATTAAATCTGCTTAAAGCAGTAAAATCATCATGGTGAGCAAACAACTATGCTCAGATCTCCAATTTCTGAATTGACTCATAATTTTCAACATTATTACTGGCCGCTATCTCTTTTTGACTGAATTTTCATTCCCTTTGAACAGAAAGGAAATGGAACAGAAGATAGGGAAGATGAACAAAAAGTAAATATTACACTAGTATTGATGAATTCCAAATAATTGAATTTGTCTCTCCCACTAAAGTAAGATTACCCTAGTAATGAGGAATTCCAAATATTTAGTGCACTACAAATACGTATACAAAAAGTGAAACCGCTCTGCGTGGTGCTGACGGAGTCTTGCCAGTATAAAATTGTACTGTAATTCATACAAGCAGAGGCATCCATCAACTAAATGTTTCATGATGTACTGCCAAAGCCTGGAATATATATAAGCGAACATGATTTAAGCATCAATTAAACTAACTCATCTTTCACTAGCTATCCTCCAAACTAATTTCGGAAGAAATTTCAATCTGGACTGACAATATGCAAATTAAAGACTAGTAAAAGCTTGATAATTTTTTTTTGGTCACGAAAAGGGGAAAATTGAAGAAGAAAGAAGCGGAAGAAAATATGTTAGATTAGTTAGTATTGATGGATTAGCTTTTAAGAGGAGGGAACTTATCCTTTTGGAATAATAAAGAAAGGAAGAAGTATTTATAAGGAATTTTTACATTCCTATGCTACATAGAAACATTATTACCCTCAATGTTTAAGGTTTGATTTAATTACACTTAGTATACTAAATTACCAATTCTATACCATAATTAATTAAGGGTATAATTAATTGTACATTATTTACTCATTAATTAAAGGAATCTGCACGTTTCTCTCTCCTAACCCCTCAGTCCCACCCACGTTTTACCTATACCCACGTTCTTTTTACCATTTTCCATCTTCTGAAACTAAATTCTCCATCTAAATTCACAGAAAATTGAAGATTTTTAAACAGAACAGTATTCACAAACGTGAAGGCGAAAGGTGCACTATGAATGTGAAACAAAAGCAACAGAAGCATATGAACAACAAGCTTCGCGCAACAACATCATGATATTTCAGAAATAAAAGATAAACGGACATGCATTTTGACCAGTTTATGGTTTTTAGAAGCCTTAGTAGAACTACTTTGCTTTCCATACAGCCACTAAAAAGCTTTGAAGCTTTGAATTCAAATTTGGGTTTTCAAAAATCATTATTTGTTTTGATTGGGTGTTGTTGTAAATAATTGGGAATATGTTTTGGAGTTTATATCTCAATTTTGAGGGGTTTTGGTGAAGATTTAGACTTGGTTTTGGCTGAATTTCAGATTGAAACTCGAAGAAGAAGAAGAAGAAGAAGACATATTGCAGAAATTGTAGATAAATTGTAGTTACAGTTGGATTGATCAGAATTTGAACTAAATACATCTTCGCCGCCGTTGACGGCTTCCGACGAGGAAACTCCTCTGTTCTCTACTTCTCCATTCTCCATTTCTTATTTTTACTTCTGTTTTACTTTTTCTATTTCTAATTTGAGTTTCTTGATTTCGCACACTTTATACACACATTTGATACATCAAAAATATGAAGTAGTTACAGTTGGATTGATCAGAATTTGAAATAAATAAAAGAGATTTTTACATCCTATGCCACATATATTTCAAATTTTATGGAAGTCTGATTTTACGGTAATATCTATAAAATTCCTACATTTATCTACAAATAAACTACACATCAGTTTTATGATGTATAAAGCAATATTATTTTCATAATTATCTACAAAATTACTACATTTATACTACAATTAAACTACAATCTATGTTGAAAAAATATTGACTACAAAATTTTTCTCTTCATCTACAAATATACTACAAATCAGTTTAAGTATGTATAAAACAGTATTATTTGTAAGGGTATCTACATAATTACTACATTTATACTACAATTAAACTACAATCTATGTTGAAAATCTACAAATTATCTACAAAATATCTACAAACTGGGTACATTAAATTTTAATATCCCAATTCTCATTCAATTGTAGCATAATTGAAATTTTTGACATAATTGCGTTTTTCCTGAAGATTTGTAGAAGTTTTAGTCATTTTTTATTTGTGAAAACAGAAAATAAAGCATCTACAATCAGAATACAAATAATCTACAATTTATCTACAAAATATCTACAATCTCTGCAATATGTCTTCTTCTTCTTCTTCTTCTTCTTCTTCTTCTTCTTCTTCTTCTTCTTCTACTTGCAATATGAAATTCAGTCAAAACCAAGTCTAATCTTCACCAAAATCCCTCAAAATTGAGATATAAACTCCAAACCATACTCCCAATTATTTTCAACAACACCCAATCCAAACAAATAATGATTTTTGAAAACCCAAATTTGAATTCAAAGCTTTCAAGCTTTTTAATGGCTATTAATGGTGGATTTGTAGCGATTTTGATTTAATGACGAACTGAGATTTTGATTTGTAGCGATTATGAGAAAAAAACGGAACAGAATTTGATTATAAATTGAAGATAAATGATTTCCGTGATATGATTTGATCTCCTTTCCGTTTCAAAACTTGAATTTAATGTAGAATCAATCAATCCCAAGATCCTTTCCTGATTTTTCGCGCGTTATTAAGGGAAGATTCTGCCCTATTAATTCCTAATAAATGAATGGTACAAAAATTGTAGGAAAAATATGGATTAGGCGGGTAATTTAGATACTATGCACATATTTGGTAATAAAGTTTCATATATGGTATAGGAAGGAAAAAATCCCTATTTATAAACACTTCTTTGTCTTACATGATATGAATATTTTGAAAAATGTTTTGGAAGGTAACTAGAATTTGATAAAATTCACTTATTATTTTTATTATTTAATAAAAATATTTTTAAATTATCAAAACTTTTTTAAAATTCATTTAAATTGAAAAAGTGACTGTTGATTTTTAAAAATGGTGCATGTTGGTAAGGTTGAGTCTGTTAATTTGAATAGACACCTAAAGGGTTTATGAATATCCCTTTCCTCTCCAAAATGAAACACAACACAAAAATCAACAGAAATCCATCTTCTCCTCTTACTACTACTATCCACAAATTTACAAAGTTTGTTCGAGTAAAAATTCGAGTTAATTGCTGGCACTCGAAACTCATAGAATTTGTAGAATCCTCAAGAAATTCTGCCATAATCCCTACATCAATAAAAGGTGAGGCTTAAATTCTTAAGGATATGACTACACTATCAAGGCTCAATTATTTCGTCCTCATTTCTTTCTAACAGAATATACACCAGGTGCTTACAATCCATGTACGTAAAGAGGAAAGCATATCAAGGAAAGAAGCAAAGAGCTGCTTAACACAAATATTGGTACGTCTTTTTCATGTACCATTATTACTAAGTCATAAAAGTACAAAAGGAACACATCTGTCGCGTAATTCAAATCACAACAACCAAAGCATTCATAGTTTAATTACACACACTTAACGACTCTTTACATAAACAAAGACCATAATCAACTTTGAACATTCAACGTAACACCAACAGGAGATGCAGAAAAGGTAAATTAAAGTGATGAGGACAGAGCGGAAGGCAGATATTCTTTTTGGTTCACTGTCCGAGCATGTTTCGTTAGTAGCTAACCGGATCTTTCTGGCTTTTGCCATGTTTATTACACACTAAGACTACTTGACTTGATATCAGCTAACGTCGCCGTTCTGGGGTCCAGTGAGGAGCAGCCGGACTGAAATGCACAGATACCACCCTGGAATCAAGAAGTTCCACAATAGGAGTAAAATTGACACACCTCGGAGCCTTATACTGATTAATTGATGCACCCCTCGAAATTGCATAATCCATCAGCTCTTCAAATGTCCCATTTTTCACTATTCTAATCTCAAGTGGTCCAATTGAATTGTCCGCAAGGCGACACTGTCTATACACTGAGTTCAAAGATTCTTCCATAGCCAAGCAGCACTGGTTCAACACCTCCTGACTCGGTGGGTTGGTTGGGTCCTTTACTAGTAATTCCCAGTAAATCACGTAGTGCCCCGGAATTGTCTTTGTATCAGCAAAACTCGTGTACTCGACCAAATTAGTATCATATGGGCGCAAAAGTGCTGTTGCATTTTCAATAGCCATTTGCAATTCAGACTCATCAGTTTTGTCCGAGTCAATGCTCAACAACACATTTTTTCTCCTAACAAATTTGAATTGAGGTGCTGAGTTGTGAAATCCGGTAACCTGTAGTATGTCACCAACTCGGTAACGACATAATCCAGCATAAGTGGTGATCACGAGCTCGTATTCTTTTCCCAATTCTACGTCAGCCAGGTCCACGAGATGAGGGGGCGAATCATGAGAGATTTGTACCGGGTTGGCTGGGTCATGTGGGATGAATTCAAAGTAACCCATATTTGGCATGATAGTGTAACAAACTTCAGAAGGCTTGCACATTGGTTTTAAATTGAGACCAAAATAACATTCGGACGATGCATACATTGTACAAGCCTTTGGTAGACCCCCACTGTAATAATCTAAAGTAGGGATATATTGAGCCATTGCACCTGTGACTATGACGTCCAAGTACTTTGTGTTTGGCCAAATTCTAGTAATGATTCCTTCCCAGTTGTCGCCATCACATTCTTTAGTAACAAACTCTGCAAGTTCAGGATTTGGTTTGAGTATTTTGGACATGCAATTTCTGATTGAAGGGTCTGAAACTCTAGGGTTTAGGGTTCCAGTTGCAATATCATGAGCTAATTGCTGCCAGTTGAGTTGAAGAAAACGGATGGCCCGAAGTAGGCCTGAGGCGAAAACAGCGCCTACTCGGAGGACTTCTTCTCTCATGAGAAGGCCACAAAGCATTTGAGTGTACATACTTTGGAAAGAGTCGACGCAGAGGATAGCCTCGTTAGGGCTGGTGTAGACATTGGAAGGGTCGTATGGCCTAGTCTTGAATTGTTCACTCTTGTAGTAACTAGTCAGTACTGGACGTGCAACAAGGCCACCAGGAGTCTTGGTTTCTGCCTTTATAAATAGAAAGTATAATCCCTTCCCCTTGTCTAGACCAGGCACATACCTGTTTAACATAAGTCCAAGAAAATCTAACATCAATCCTGACTAATTACAAATTTTCAATATTTTTCTCCAAATCACAAAGTAAGACTAATGTTAATTTCAGCGAATTTTATGTTCTAATGGGGGTTAATTAAGAGTGGTTAATTTGAAAATTGGTGGATTACCAGACTATATTCCATATAGAAACATTTTATAAAGTAATGATGTCATGCATGTTATAGAATAGTAACTGTACCCTAGGGTAGATGACTTACAGATTCATCACGGGCTGGAGAAGACTGTACAATTTCTGTCTGCGTTCTAGCTCATCCGCAATTGTGGGCATCAGCTTTCTCTCTCCAGCAGACGTCCCCGAACTATAAAACCAAAAGTAACATTTCAATATGAATATTGAAATAGCATATTAGCTAAGAAATTTTTGTTCCATCAAAGAAAACAAAGTACTACTTCAATTTGGGAAAAATATGTGCACGATTAATATACTGCATGCGATATTTGGCTTAAAAGAGAAAATCTGACCTGGTAAGGAACTCTGAAATAGGATGAGATGAGAAGATTGGTGAGCGATCGCCATTGGCGACACGATCAATATAAGGTTTAAGATCCTCGTATGTGACAACGGGAACCTTGGACTTGAACGTGTCACGGTCAGTTGCACCACCAACTTTGAATCTTTGGAGGTACTCAGTATTGGCATTTCGGCTTAGTATTTCAGCCAACACTTTCTCTTGTACTGAATCAGTATTTTTAGTCATCTCCTCAATGAACTGAAGAGCCTTGGCATCTTTCTCACATGCCGGAGGGCCAAGAGGAGATGAAAGACAAGAATCAACAGCCATAATATATTGTATATGAAAAGTAGAGAAGAGAGAATTTAAAGTGGAAGAGAAGATATAAAGCACTTAATTCTTAGAGATTGTTAATTTCGATTGTGTGCTTGGGTACCTGTAAATGGGAACCTATTTATAGTGAAAGGAAGGCCTTATTCTTCCATGTCTATCCACGTCACTTTCCACGTAAGAATGTACACGTGGAAGCCACACTAATAAAAATCTTTGGTAATTTTAGCCATGGACTTGGACGATGCATTTGCCGTGCATCGACTTTGTAATATTTTTTTGTCGGAGTTATGGTCTCTGGAAGAGGGAACTTGTGGGCCCACATTACGTCACTATGTCTGCTCTTTCAGAACTTGTGGGCCCAATATGCATGACAGGTCAGCAAAGTCCAGCGAGGGTTCTTTTGTCACGGAGTTGAAATGGACGACCGTTTCTGGTGAGTTTGTTGGTCACGGACAAACATAGGCTGCCGGCGAAGGAGCAAATTACACTGTTTAACACAACAGAAAGTAACCTATGTTTTAGGAGCTAATATTAATTAATGAGTGTGAAAGATAATCTACTATTAAATGGACTATTTTTAAAAATGTCAGGTGATGAAAGGTACTCATGAGGTTAACATGATAAAGTATATATATTTTTATCCAAAAGATAATTAATCAGTGCGCAAAAGAATATAATTGTGCAGCAATCACATGAACATATATCCTCGGGGTTGTCACTAGAATTCCTGCATTGTTCTTTTGCTATTTGTCTACTTGTATAGCTCCCAGCCTCCCACCAGGATACCCCTGTCATAGTTTTCATCGCCTAGCTAAATTCCCTGTCTGCTATAACTATAGTTTCTCTTTATTTCTTTTTCACGCTATGTTGATTTAATCGGAAATGCAACTGCCAATTTTTTATTTTATTTTTTACAATATGATTATGCATTTAGGGCTTCCGTTATACTTTTTGATAATTCAATTACCTGTGTAGCGTTTCATATTTGAATTCTTGTAACGTATTACGTTTTGTTATATTAAGGTTATTCAATTTGTAACGCATTGTGTTTTTGACGTAAAACTAGAAGATTAATTAGCTTCATATGATAAAACGAACTACGTGATATAAATTTATCATATTGCTCTTGATTACAATCACTGCGACCGTTCACCAGTCAATATTTAGCATAGCAGTTGAGGAGAACTTAATTTAAGCTCGTCAGCCACCATGACTTAACAACTGTACAAGCTGTGTTTTGAGCATGAAACAAAATTGTTGACATCAAGAGATGGACCTATATGCATATTAAAAGAATTAATGCAATAAAAAGGAACAGTGTGTTTTAGATAAGAGGATTTATCAGAAAGGTGACGATCACAATAGGGTTTATCCCATTCTTGACAAAACATTTTCCACTGTGAGACTAGTATGGTAGGGTTTTTGTCTAAGTTAGCTAGTGGCAATGTCGTGTCTTACTATTTAGCTTTTCAGTGTCGGACTGATTTACTAGCTATCGCTATCGCTTTTGCTTTACATCTTTCTTCTGGATTTTATGTTGTTCCTATTTTTCTTATGATTGCTGTGGTGATAGTGATATTGTCTCCTTTTGTCTTTTTGTCCTCTTGAGCAGAGTGTCTTTCGAAAACAGTCTTTTTATCCTTCGGGGTAGGGATAAGGTCTGTGTACACACTACCCTCCCCAGACCCTACTAGACCCTACTAGTAGGATTTTAATTGTTGTTGTTGTGACTATCACAATAGGGCAGTTTTTTTTGGCTTACACCATATATCTCGGTGTTTATCTTACACTTTTTTTTGGTAGAATCCTTTCTAGTCACGATACTAATAATTCAAATATGTCTTACATAAAGTGAGAGTCCTATTTGGTAGTTAAATTCAATTATTGTTGGTAAACGCAAATGATAATGGGGTAATGCTGCGAAACGAGCACGTTCAACACTCAATAATGTTTCGAAAGGTCAATTCAACCAAAAGATCAGAATCTCGTGTGTGTTAAGTATTTCTGAAACGGGAGGAACCAACTTTTTCAATAATGTTTATGTTTCTTCAGTTATGGTTTAATATCGTGGCCACTATAATCAACCTTGCCTTGTTATTACCTTATGAGTATATGAGAGGAAGTAATCTTTTTTAATGCCAAACGATTGATGACGAAAGCCCAGTACAGTGGACCGAAAATCCTGTACTTTTGATGTCCTTTTGCCTGCTCACATATAGGCAAATTGTTTGTAATTGAAATTTAACTAATTCAATGGTATAAAGATCCTTTAAAATGATATTAAAAAAAAACACGATTAGTTAGTTATTCAATTCAGATGGAGTAGGGAAACGCGGGGAGATGAAGCATTCTACAAACTCAACTTAGAATATAACATTAATTTTAACCTCCAGATACATATTTGGTGAGCAATTCGAGGAATTATTATTGATATTTATTCATTTTGGAATTTAGTTAATGTTAAATGGTAGTAGCCCGAAAGAATTGTGGCTTGGTATAGTTTTGAAGTGTGACGAGGGCTGAAATCAAATCTGATTTTATCTTATGCTGTATGAAGTATAAACACCCCAAATGATCCTTTATCTCTACATTCAAAATCAAAACTCGAAGCTTTTCTTATTTTTGACTTATGATTTCAGAAGCCATATGTTTGTCCGTAATCTTTTAGACTGCTGAAGATATACAGATAATATATGCAAGCTTTGATTGGTGTTTGGTGTAATTACAGTAATTAAATTACTACAACATAAAACTACTACTAGTATTGTATGGGTCAAAATCTGCCCTAGAATATTTAAGATAAGATAACACTAAAGAAAGAATTCTCGAGCCTGTTTAACCAGAAAATAGGAATTTCGGTCAAAGCTTAATTTTAGAAGAACTCGGGTTACTGATAATCAAATAAGAAAATAATTATGTAATGAAAAAGAAAAATTGAATTGAAAAGTAGCTGAGTAAGCAAAATAAAGCAAAGTAAATCAGTGTATTTCAATAATAATCTGTGTCCCATACAAATTTTATTTCTCTCCTTTTATAGCTATTTCTAAGTACTACGTTTCTTTCCTATCATAATAGAGCCATTATGAACAATTAACGGCATTAATGTAACGTTATAATTAGCAATCATAATTATTTCGTGAAGATTCTATAACGTTCTCCATCATTGATGCTCAACAATTACAGATAATGTGTATCTGTACTTTTTGCTAACTAGGTTCATTCCTCCGATGTCTCTTCAAATCATCAAGAGATCTGAGTAACTGTTCGTAACCGTTCCTTCTTGTTTTCTTGAACCTTTGCCCATACCTATTAAGGCTCGCGGCTCTTTGAATACTCTTTGCTAGCTGTCATTCTTCCATTGATCCATGTGTCTTGACATGTTAGCACATAATTAATTCCAAATGTTAACTCGATTTTTCCTAATACAGATAGTTCCACAACTTGCCATTTATTCAGCAATTGAATATTTGGGAAGTGGGTCTCTTTAAAGCTGGAATTTTTGCCGCCATTCTCACGTATCATTATACCTTTTTCAGAACTGACGCTTTGCATGTCACTTCCATTTAATGCATGTGACACGCAGTGATTTTTGATTGGTTCTGCAGTCTTTCAGCATCTTTTGACAGTTTTCATTATGACGTTCCCATCATCACCTTTTTGTTTGACGGTTGCTTCTAAGTATAAATATATCCTTTGTCTTTTCTTTCATAGAAAAGTTTTCCATCTTTGATTACTTAATCTTCTCTCCCTTTTCGTACAGCTATGGCTTCTTCAAACCCTGATCCTCAAAAAGTTCTTATCGTAGATGAACTTCCCCTTGTTCCTATTAGGAGCAGGAAAGGGGGTAGGCTACGTAGTTTAGGGTCAGTTTCCATTCGAGGTTCTTCTTCTTCTCTACCTAGTTCTAATTCTTCTTCATCTTCTAGAACTAAGGCTTCTCTTACACATATGTCTTCTGCCAGAAGTAGGGATTCCTATGAGCCAATCTGTGAACCTACGGTAGATGAAATTATCCCTTCTGAAATTTCTTTTTATACTAATAGAGAATCAATTAGAAACCATGTTTCCTCTATGTCCTCTCATCATCATGTCGATGTTTACTCTTCACATATTACTGAAGGTTTGATCTCTGTTGTTCGTAGAGATTGTCATTGGAGGTTTGATTTCCCAATTCTGATCCTAATGCAAATCAAAGGATTACTTCTTTCAAGGCAGGCTTTTCTTTCATGTATACATAACCTTTTATATTGGACTTTAGACCCCCTATTGATCCAGTTATCATTGAAGTCTGCCGCTTCTTCAATGTGTATTTAGGACAAATTGGCCCTATTGTATGGAGGGTTGTTGCATGTTTAAGATATTTGGCTAATTTGGCTCAATTGTCTTTTACCTTCTTTCATCTAATCCACCTCTACTCCCCTAAGTTATTCCGTCATGGGATTTTTACTTTGGTAGCGAAGAGTAAGAGGGTATTAATCAGCCCTGAGGATGATAAAGATCATGGCTGGTATGACCGATTTGTTGCTGCTCTTACGTTAGGGTTAGTAGGTGAAGAAAATATGTCATTCCCTGAAAAGTGGAATTTTGCACGAAGTTTTCTTTGCAACTTTCTATCTTCTCTTTTCTCTTTTTTTAAAAGATTTGTACTTCCCGTGACTATTTCGCTTTTTTTTTCAGCAACCATGGGAACTGTTGAAGAGATTCCCAATTTCCGTAGTTGGGTAGAGAAATTGTTGACCATTGCTCCAATGGAAGTTAGATCTTGGAATTACCTCTCAAATAGGTTTGGTTGGAAGGTTAAAACTCAAGGTAAATTTTTTTATTCTTTTCCTTCTATTTTTATTCATTCTTACTTTAGAACGTATTTAACCCTTCTTTTATCAGGGTTTCCTATTCGTGGTGTAAGTGCTGAGTCGATCGTACCTTCTAGACTTTCTTTGGAAAGAGCTCAGGAGATAATCTTGAGTTCTTCATCGAAAAGGAAAGCTGACAGACCCCATGATTCTGAAGACGAAGAGGAACAGGATGGAAGTTCTTTGGTTAGAAAGTCGCGGGCTAGAAGACGCGTCATTTC